TCTTTTGCAACACTTAATGGTATCACTATCATTCATTTAAAAGAAAAGGCTTTCAAACTGACCTGCCATAATTTAACATATATGTTCAGCCATCTGTTGTAAGGAAGACATTAATGCATATGCTAATATTTGGTTCTCTTCTGAATGTATTGTTAGAAGGAACCATCCTACAGTGCCTTGATTTAAATATGGCTCTGATTTAAAGAGAGGCCAAATGCCTACCCTGATGATGCATGACAAAGCAGGAACAGCATGACAGTATTTAATGGGCTGCAACTCCCAGGACTGGTCTGAGATTTAACCAATTATCTTTTAATCTGCAGCATTTGTAATATGCCAGCTCCTAGCTCATTAGTAATCCAGGAGAGCTAAGGGTCAGCAATATTGTGAAATTAGGGTATCTTGGCAAAAACCCATCAGGAATCTTTGACCAGGGATTCTCTTGACAAAGCATAAGTGTTAGCAAGCTGTACTTACTAAAGAGCAGCGATAAATAAAAAAGACAGGAAAAGGTACTATTAGGTAAGAATGGCCACAAAGCTATGATTTTTATTGGGTTTTCTTGGTCATCAGAAGGGTAAGACTAATAATTTCCGAAGCTTTCGCTTTGTCAAATCATGAGCATCTTGTATGGAAGGATATAAGCCATATACCATATTTACTCAACTATAAAATGAGGCTTCCCCCCATTCAGTTTGGGCGGGAGGAGGCTCCTCACCTTACATTTATGTACAGAGGAACCTCATTAAATACATTGTCTATCATTGAACACCTGCCAAAAGCAGCATGTGCTCAATAATGGAAACTAACTATGAAGTTGATTAAATGCAGCCAACACTGTAAAACATGTGGCCCATGTTGGGCAGACATGGTAATGGGAACCTGGTGTGTGTGTGTGTGTCCCTTAAGAAGAAAAAAAGGGGGGGGTGAGTATTTCCTCTGCAGGAAACTGGCATACTAGACCAGCACCAGGAGGCCAGAACCAGCCCTGACACCCTCCCCTTAGTGCTAAAAATTGACTTTTATTAGTAAATGTTTAGAATTATGAATCCAAAAAAGTTGATAAAGCTGGTAGGGGAGTACATATTGCCCGAGCGAGGGACTAACATTAGAGGGATGGGGATGAGGAGGGGAACGCAACTAGGTTACAGAAAATACAATGTTAGCCAACTAAGCCCGGGAGAGGGGGGAAAGGGAGGGGAGGGGGTTTGTGGCACTGAGAGAGAAAGAAGATACACACACCCCCGTTAAAATGGTCCGCAATGGTGGAGGAAGTGGTTTGAAGTAAGTGTCTCAGTCCACATAGTCTCATCGCGGGGGTCCTCTTCATGTGGAGTGGGGTTGTCCATTGCTGAAGAATCCTCTCGAAGTGAAGTCCATCTGGTACAGAGGGGGGGTTCAGGCGATCCCCTCTGGGTCCGGTCCGACAGCGGTTCGTTTGGTGGGGTTGGAGTACTGGAGGTGGCCCATGATGTGTTCCACGTAGGTGTCACGGGGCCAACGGATGGTGTGCTACATTTGATCTTAGCCAAAAAGGCCGAGATGCTGATAGGAACATTTTTTTTGGGTGTGTTCCATGTCAAATCAGCCAAATCAGTTTCAAGTCGCATCAAATGAGCAGAACTCAATCGTTCCAAACAACCATATTGATTGAGCAGGCAAAACTTAATTGTTCTAAACACCATGTATGGTGCTGCAACCAGTGAGTGTCCTACATCCCAGGCTCTCACTCTGGGACTTCAGATACTCCCAAATGCACTGACAGGCATCCTACATGCAGGCCCAAGCCCAGAGGACTTTGGATTTAGATACCCCCACTTGATCTTAGCCCACAAGAAGCTGAGCCATTTACACACTCACCACATTGACAGGTTTGGGCAGCCCATCTGAATAAGATGCATCATAGTGCCCTTTGCACTCAGTCCTCCTCAGCGCCAACTTTTTCAAGTCATGGTGAGCCACACATTTAATACATTTCAACTTCTTCTTCACTCCCACAGTTAAGCTGTGCCTTTCTTTCCCATTTCCAAGTCCTGTTTCTTCACCAGCCTTAAATGTGTGGTTAACATCACCAAGCGGGGCCCAGCAAGTTCACCCAGAATCCCTCTGTCACCATTTCCTCAGCCTGTTACATATGATTTGTATGGCCCTGCTCTCCATCAGGTGGACCAGGTTGCTCTGCACCTCATAGGAATATATATTTTTGGAAGATCCAAGGACTCATGACAAGAACACCTGTTTCCAGTCTTGAGTTGGGGGAGGGTTAATAAGCACATGGCTCCTTTGTGGGGGGGCGGGGGGGGGTGCGGGGGGGGATCTGGAGGACCCGCACATGGGTGGGTATCTGGAGTACACGCACATACTGAGCAGTGCTAAGTTGTGTAGTTATCATGGCTTGAAATGTCATCGAATATTGGGGCCCAGCCCAATGAACTGTATGATAAATACTCAACCTTTTGACTTTAGACAAATACAATGCATAGCTTATACTATTTATAAGTCGATATAAAAGTACTGCTTAAAAGTGTGTTTATGAAGTACCTGTGCTATTATTTTCAGCAGTTCCAAAAAAGGTAAAATGTATCACTTTTGGATGAACTAAGTCTATGAGTACCCATGCATGTTTGTTTCAAAGTCAGTGTTTTCAAATTTGCCCCTTGCTTCCGTGTGTTCAGGGAGAGCAGCGTCTGACAGTAAAGGGGGAGGGGCTGCAGGGGAAAAAGTTGGGAGGACAGAGAGCAAGGGACTACCTGATTTCCCCCAGATTTATTTTACCTGCTGTAGAAGTGGGAGGAGACAAATTCAAGGCTAACTTCCAATAATTAGGAAATTATAACAAATTTATATATTTTCCATATATCAAATCTTATTGTTGGGGGGTCATCTTGTATTCAGGTAAATATGATGCAATGCTTTTTCCTCCCAAATAAATATTTTACACAGCAGTGCCTAAAAAGGATGTTACAATGACACAGCAGGTTTTTATTTTTATTTTTTAAACCTCTATAGGTATTGTGCTTTCTGATGACTCATTCTGCATTCAGAAACCTGGCATAAATGCGTCAGCACTTCATTTCTGGTGACAAACTTCCCCTTCATAATGAGCTCGTAATACACCTTTTAAGAGTTAGAGCCACATAGGGTGGTGCGGAGAGGAGTAGCTGTAATAGCCATTATTCATGCAAAGAGGAAAGCAAGCAGAATACCTCCCAGGAGTGCTAGAGGGGCCATGTTTGTTAACAGCACCTGCTCTGTAGCTGCAGTGTTTTCTCCCCTAATTGCTGTCTAGTAGCTGCAAGGTAGTATGGGGAGGACTTATGGCTATGCTCAAACATGCCTATGATTTGCTGAAGATACAACTGTCTGGCTGGTGTGTGTTGTGCAGGATAAGGGGATTTTTGGGTGTTCCTAAGCATACCAAATAGCTATAATTTTTCATATGTTGGCAAATCATCCATGGCATACAATAATAAATGGAGTAGCAAATACCACCAAAACTTAACTGCTTAAAATGTAAAACAGTGCTAGCTTCCAGTTTAGTTCACATGGACTATACTTTTTCTTTCAAAGTTGTGGCTGTAAGAAGTATTTCATATAGATAAAAATTTGACACTGCTCTGTTGAAATCCATCAGCTACCAGAATTTGTCGAAAATCTAAGCAAGAAGAAAATAATTCCCAATTGACTGTCAAACTTGGATTGATTGATATTTCAGCCCTGCTATATAGCAGATTTGTACATCTCTATGTTCTGTAGTACAGTGATGCTCAACCACAGTGTTGCAGCACAAGATAAAAACCCAGAGATTTCAAATAGCAATCCATAATGTTAAATATTCTGACCTGTTGTGAGGTTTTTTGAGTTCTTTGGAAAAGAAGAATTGCTGAGTTTTTATTTTTTTTTACCCCATGGTCAAAAAATAAGTAAAAACTAAGAGTTGGCATTTTCCAAGGGGTGCCTCAAGTCCAACGGGTGCCTTTTGCCTCAAAAGATTGAGACCTGCTGCTGTAGTAGATAATTGTGTACCTGCATTGAAAATGTTGTTACTTCTAGTGAAGCATTTTTCTGTACTGAAATTTGACACGTTGCACTGTGTGTGTGTGTGTGTGTGTGTGTGTTTGGTCCATATATTTATAATCAAATGGTATCCAGGTTGTAGCCATATTGGTCTAGAAGAAAAGGCAGTCAGGACTCGTAGTAGAGATGATATCTTTTATTAGACCAACAAGATTTTTGCAAAAAAAAATTCTTTAATAGCAAACTTTGGGGCGCAAACACCCTTCATTAGGCATTGGAGAAAAGATTGTAAAAGGTCTCCTGGGTAGAAATGAAAGTTCATATTTCATAGGATTTCACTGAGGAGTCAGTAGATGGAAAACTCCTCTGGGCATACCTCGTAGCTGGTATGAACCGACTGCCCAGAGGAGTTTTCCATCTATTGACTCCTCAGTGAAATCCTATGAAATATGAACTTTCATTTCTACCCAGGAGATCTTTTACAATCTTTTCGCCAATGCCTAATGAAGGGTGTTTGCGCCCCAGAGTTTGCAATTAAAGAATTTTTTTTGCAAAAATCTTGTTGGTCCAATAAAAGATACCATCTCTACTACGAGTCCTGACTGCCTTTTTATAATCAAAATGCTTTTAATGCTATGGTGTTATGATTGTAATTCAATATCAGGGATAAATACTGTGCATTTGAAATTCCTGGTTTTAAAGAAAATATCAGTGTGTGTGACCAGCAAAACATTTAGCAAGCATGATGGTTTATTTAATTTAGCATACTGCTTACTCTCTTACTCTTCACACTGCAGGCAGCAGCTTCTGAATCTGACTCCATCCATCTTGGGTGCAATTCTTACTTGAATCTTTCTATGACTTTTAGCTGAAATTGCATATTAATAAGAAGGTGGAAAAAACCTACACAGCTAATGCATCCAGTTAGTTAAAAATCAAGTCACATTTTATTTACTTAAACCCATCTGTGCTTGTTTTACCAGTAATATATTCGGTTTGCGGCCTGTGGACTATGCAGAAACTGAAAAAATGAAGTCTGTGCTGATGCTACCAGGGAAGAATGAATCATCCTCATTTAGTCAATCTGTAGAAGTAAGTGGTGTGTCTAAAAAAATAAATAAGTAATAAAATATTATTTTGGTGTAAGTTCAGAATGTTTGGATCAAGGATGACTGCAGTATGTGGTTAAAAGTAATCTTGAAAAATAGTCGCAATAAAATTAAGACTGTAACATTCCTTAATTTTTTCTATTTATGGCATACACTAATACAGGACAGGACTGTGCAACTAGTGACCTGTGGGGTGCATGTGGCCTTTAAGGAACTAATTTGTGGCCCTTGGGCTCGTGCCTAGCTGCCACTTTCCCTGTTGTTCTGGAAGCACCTGGGGTCTCTGGTCTCTGTTCCCCCCCAACTTCCATTTCCTGCCCATGCTGGGGAACGGAAGCTTGTACTGAAGATAGAGTGCACTGTGGTAATGAAGCAGAGGTCAAGTTGGGTTTGTGCCTGCATGTGTGGTTCATTGGAGTTGGGAACAGACGTGATATGTGGTCCCTGCTGGTGAGGCCTAGGCAGCTAGGGGCTACACACCCCTTGGAAGATAAGCCTTTAGACTATACCACAGATGTCTATCTCTAAGAAAATGTGTTACTGTCTCTGAGTTGGTCTTGTTGTTTTAAAAACATGATCACACTCAAAAAAACTGTACTAGAAACTTTTTATTCTTCAGCATTGTATATTGTCTGTCTGCATCTTCCTCTCTATTTTGACACAGCAAGAAGTGCCCATGTTTGCTCTGAGTCGGTGGTTAGCCACCTTTTATAAGCCACGAACGGAATGACTTGGCTTCAGCCTGGCATGGGCCAGGTGGCTTTGGCAGCGTATCAGCATTTGAGGAGGAGAGGAGAGGAGAGGAGTCTGCCTTTGCTGGGACCAGGTACCTGGGAGTTGCACATGCCCCATGGCTGCTTTTCCCAGTCCCCTGCTTCCCACTTGCAGCACAAGTGTGGCTTTCAGCCAAAGGGGATCTGCACTAGGGCTGGGCGGCTTGGAGCTGCACCTGTGTTGTCACCATTTTTCCCTGTTCCTCACTCCCTGGCTGCAGTACCAGCATGGCTACAAGCTGCCCAACCCTGGGTAAGTTCTCTACCTGCTGGAAGTTGTTCCTGTGCTGTAGCTTCCAGCTGTCTGGTCCCAGCACAGATCCTCTCTGTCCAGCCTCAGCATAGGCACCAGCACAGGAAAAACCTTCTGCCTCCACAAGCCAGATCCAGTGGCTCCTTGGGACAGATTCAGCCCTCAGGCAAAGTTCAAAAGTATAATTATCTAGTCCTATATCCTCCTTTTAAAAAATATTCAGGGGAACCCACCAGTTGAAAGTAACTTTATGGTCTTGTGTTTTAGGCCTTTTATTTCCCCACAGCTAGAGTGAATAAATGGTGTGTTCTGAAAACCTGAAATACTGGACTAAGAATCTTATTCTTGTTTACCCAAAGGCCCCTTTTCAAAGCCAGAGCAATGTATGTGGGCCTTAGAGTAAATCCTACTTGGGTTTTACGTGTGTATGTTTCCCTGTATACTGGTGGTATTTCAGTGAGCACAGTTTTTCTTTTCTTTTTCTTCTTTCTGTCTTTTGGTACTGAGATTTACATGGTGGTGTTGATATATAACAGCTTCAATCCTTATAGTGCCATTTTACAGTAAAATGTTTGTGTGCGTATGCCATTTTAAAGCTAATATACAAAAATTGCTTTGGTATCATACATAAATTACACGGAGTACCTATAATGTCATAGCTTTCCCTCTAGAACTAGTTTGTTATACATACACCTTATTTATGAATCTGTCATGTAAGTCTGCCATGAGTAGTTTTTAAAAATGCTTATTATTAATAAAACCGTCAACCAAATACATTACTTTCTTTATGTTCCCAAACGTTTGGTTTAAGTAGGACTTAGCATTTATTTTCCCCTCTCCTCCTTGCACAGCAAGCAAGCCCAAACCACCCTAAAGATGGACCTGTTATTCTATTGGGGAGCAGCCTTAGTTCAGATAAACAGAAATTACTGAGCAAACTGTCAGCAGTTCTGAAGGCTAGAAGGTGTATGGAGTTTAACAGCACAGGTAGGTACTTATGTGTTTAAATGTATCTTGGATTTCTTTTAATACTGCAGGATTATACATATAGCCATTACACTGTTGACTGTTTAAGGCTTTGGAGACTGAAGTTGCATTTCAAATTACATGGAACGATGAAGTATTTAGACTTGTAATAGGATTGAAACAATATTAACTTTCACATTTATACTTTAAGCTGTAGGCTAGTACCTTTTAAGAAAGGAGTTCTGACACAAAAAAAAATCAGCTTCATTATGATAAAAATGGAACTAAGAAGAAAATTACTCACTAAAAATAAACCAGTCTCCAGCATTCCAGATCCTGGTTCCCAGCTTCTTGATGCAAGGCAGGAACACTCCTACAGACTCTTGCCATTTTTAGCCCCAAAGACATTGCTTGCTAGCAGGGTGAACTACTATGGGAGGTTTCCTGTTGGTGATGGTATAGTTCGCTCTCAGCTAACCTACTACCCTCAGAACCTTCCACTGCTCTTTTTAGACCACAGCTGGCAAAGATGCTGCCTACAGAAGCTCTGTGTGTATGTTTGCAT